TATCCACATAAATACATTAAACAAATTCATAACATATTTTTTGATTACAGATGGCCACAAAAAACACTGGATATCCTTATATGAAAACATCAACTTTATTGAACCCCCCCCCGCCACTTTAGTGTTATTCACAGGTCATTTTACTGAAACTGAATAGAGCACTAAATTTATTATGTACTTTCTCTCATTAGTCCAAAATAATTATAGTTAATTACACTTTAGCACAATTTTGCACTGTAATGGAGCTGCATCCTCCACGTTTGAAATCGCGCTCCTTTACGCAGACTGTGTACAGGCAAGCAATAGAAGATCCTACGGGGAAAAGAGGTAAAAGAAGAGATATTTCATCATTCTGCCACAGAATTCGGATGGGGACCCGGCAACGAAGTTGACATCAATAATTGTTGTTATTATTATACAATCCCTCAAAAACCCTTACATATACGTACAAAAATAGTCAGACCTATACGTTACAGCCGCCACAACGTGAACTGAAGTAGATCATATCTGGAATCCATGAAATATCGACGAACTTGTTTTCCTTACTTGGCGTGTCAATGTAATGTGATGCGACATTGAACACACAACATACAGTCTATATCACGTGAAACGTAGGTTGTGTCTGAAGAAAATATATATATATATATATATATATATATATATATATATATATAAGCACGCGATTCTCTATTCTTTGATCTGTCGCGAAAGTCTCTAAGACTGCCTACTGCACGCGATAGTCTTCAATGTCACTGCAAATGAACTGAAAGAGAAAATACACAATTGACCTTCTGTTTTAGCATGAGCTTAGTTCGATAAAATACCGTTCAAATCGTTGGTTACGGCAGAGAAAACAAAAATTATTTCAATGTGCCGTCAAGTTAATATTTTTTACTCGTTATTTAAAATATCGTTAAACGTCGAGGATGTTATAACAAGAAAGGGAAAATCGCGACTAAGAAGTAATTCTGTTATAGGTTTGGTTAAATGTCTTTCATTTTCCCTTACATGTTAGAAACGTGCCTTGTTTATATAATTTTTTACCACTTACGTAAACTTCGCTACGCATTATAAAAGAAAAACGGTTCATAACATTCAGACGAGGTCAATAGATGATCAATATACAAAAGATATAAATTTTGTAATAATGAGCATTTGACGTTGAAATCCAGTATACACCAACTGTAAATATTAAGCAATTATGAACGCGCTGAGGTATTAGTTCTTATAATCGATGTTAACGATAATGAAATGCGTTTTAGTACTTCACAGAATAAGCACAAATATTCACATTAAGAAATATGCAACATTTATACAGAGCATGAAATGCTGGGCGCATTTCGCGCGATATTGCTCAAGTCAAGTAGAATGCCTAGCTTCTTAAACACGTACAACCTATTTCTATTCCCTTTTCGTTTTAGCACTGCACGTATCGTCTTAACATTTCTTTTCGGAAGTTTACTGTTAAACTGCCTTCGATCGCAATAATTTTTACCAATCCCTCTCTTTTTCGCTCGCGGGAAAAAGCCAGCTGAACATTTTTCTTCCAACGCAAGCAGCAATATCCTTGCACCATCAGCTGTGACTTTCACAATTTACGATCAAGCACAATCTTTCATAAAGCGTATGGAGAGTATGTATCATGTATGTATGCGGATCATGTGTTAGGAGAGTTGGAATATACGGCGCCTGCATTCTGCACCCACACAGTGATGTTGAGTGAGTTGCAATTTTCGCGATAGTAGATTATTGACCTAACAAAGAGGAAAATATCTCCCAACGATCAAGTTTATATTTGTTTTAAGAAAACGCTATCTGAATGAATTCCTGTAACTTGTCACAAATTGGAATTTCATTCTAAAATATACTGTATATGAATCGAGTGATACTTATGATACAATTTTATACCAAGTGAAAACAAATTTGTGATATAATTTTTCTGGAGCAGATATGTCTAATGGAATGACACAAGCTAATTGTTAAAGAAAAGTTTTCTTGAATTTAATGTCATATGTTGTTTGGGATATATATTATTTATTCGGGAACTCTAGTTATCTGTGACTGGGGCAAGTTGGCCCAGCTATCCCCTTCCGTGAATGGTTCTGTACACATTTAAATGAACGGAGCCAAGAAATTGGGCGAGGAGTGAGCCTGCCATTTGAGCTCCATGGAGGCCACCGTTCCCAGCCAACACCATCGTTAATTTCCGCCCTCGCCGCAGTGCGCGACCTCGCGAGTTGTCCGTCGCCCTTCGAGAGGGACGGGGAAGGGGATGAGGAGGGCGAGGGGGGCGGAAAGGGCGGCGGCGCAGCGCGCACGAAAAATGTCGCGCCACATGGCGGCGGCGCCTGCACATAGGTCACGGGGGCGCGGCGTCGGCGGCAGGGAAGGCGCGGCGCGGCGCGGCGCGTGTCTGGGCACGTGAAGCAGCCACTTGCCGGGCGGCGCGCGTCCGCTGGCGTCGCCGAGCGGCCTCGCGGCGGCGGCGGCCCAGGGGCTCCCGGAGGGCTGCGCAGCACAACTGCCTAGATTATTAGGAGAAACGTAGAAAACAAGGGTCCTAAGTAAGAATCTAGGATCTTCATTCTAGTTCCAGAAGTGTATCGTTTGTCTAGACGGCTGTTCCCACGTCATTAGTACAGGGGGAGGGGTCACAGTGGGAGGGAAGGCGTGCGCTGGGCTTCGGTCCAACTTCAGAAATTTGAAACATTCTTCGGGTTGCCCGGTTTCTCGCATCCGCGTGGTCAATTTCCAGGGCACACGTGAAGGGGCGTTTGAAGTCCGCAGGAACACGTTGACCCCGCTTCGGTTCGACTAGTGGTCAGTAGTTCTACACTCAATGAAAATTGAGGAAGAATTCGCGTCATGGCATATACACACTTTTCTACAGTTCTGACTTGCATAAAATATAATAATAACTCTCTCACTGGAGTAACATACAAGAAAATTACGTAAAACGCGAGAAATAATAACAAATTATGTTTTTAAACATCTTGAAAGCGATTTCAAACGTGTATCAATACTTTTTTTAAGCTGGCGTCAATAACAACCAACAATGTTTTCTATTCTTTGAAATTAAGTGACATTCACGTATCGATATTTGTTTTCTTTTGGAAACCATTACGAACATCTCACTGGCTGAAGTACTCCCGGTCTCTAGCGGTCTGCGACGCAAACGCCCCCGCAGCGACGGTGGCGGCTGCGGCGACGGGAGGAGAAGACGTAAATACTGGGTCAACCCTTGGCACAGCTCGTCACTGGGAAATGACAGCCCCAGCAAACGCGGCGGAAAGAATAAATGACCTTCATTAACCCCGCTACAACCAGCGGCCAATAGTAAACATTGCGAAGGGATTTGCGTGCGAATGCCTCATGAATCTTTATGAAGGGGTTGTCAGGCTTGCGCTTTTATAACGAACAGCCACATTTTTATATCCTCGTTGATTAGGTCGCTCGATCAGTCGAAAGCGACGGCCTTCGCAGCAGACATCGACGTGCACGCGCGTGTACGGGTCGCTAATTGAACACAATAGCTACCGTTGCGCTCGGCTGTCGCAGTTGCTTGATAAAAATGATGTTGGTGAACGTAAAACACGTCGATGCTGATTCTGAAATCAGAGAACGAGTCAAAACGTTCGAACTTTCTCTCGGTCGACGAAGCAGAACAATTCCGTGAATTTTTCATGCCTGGAATTTAACGGGAATGTTGAAGGTCCAGGTATGAAATTCCCCAGAATGTGATGGGCACGTTCTACGCTCGAAAAGGAAGCTTTTCCGACGAAGAACCGTAGACACTTCCAAATAAAAGGATGGAAGAGACTGTAACACAAGAATGGTCCTCCTGAAAATTAAACACTCATGACAAAAGCCTCAGAGTTCGCCATGCTACCAATTATTACAAACAGAAAATCATTTCGAGCTATCGGTTTCAAATGTTTCAAATGTTGGACGGACGGACGGCCAGCCGCCAATGGATTTTTTGGCACCAAGGACCCACAAAACCTGTATTTTTACTATACAACATGTTATATAAAGCAATGTACCATATATATAGTACCAAGACTTACCCACGTTTAGTCAGCATGGCCTGGCAATAAGTTTGTCCAAAAAATCACCGATTTTTTGCGCACGGTTACAATAATTTATATTCTTACAAAGTAAGACGAGAATGTGAAAATCGGTGAGATCCACAATTCAACGATGAAGTATTAAGACATTATTAGAAAAAATACGGGAGAAACCCACAAATAAAGTAATATTGCTAAATGTAAGTAGTAAATTGCCCTAATATTGAAATCATATGTAGAATACAATAGAATGAACACTTGAAATTCCCACAGAGCTAGGCCCTTCATGCGTTCTGCAATCCGCGAATATTGACTGCTGTTGGGGGAGGCATGGGAGCCACAGCAACCATCGAAAATGTACAACATGAAAAATATTTTAAACAATTACCAATATGTTGTAAAGTGATATATTCTTTCTGAATATTTCAAATCAACTGACAATTAAGGAATTTATATATGTCTCAAGGTTTAAATTTAAACCATTTGTACTAGAAAAGTACCACTAGTACAAATATTTATTACAAAAATATCGCTAAATGATTTATTTTCAAATACATGAAAATGCGAATATGAAAACAAAACGAAGGATCAAAGTTTAAAATAAATAGTATTTCCATCTATAAATTATATTTTTAGGAAAAACTTCCTGTATTTTTTTACATGCCCTCTCAGAACAAGAAGAAGAAGAAATTATTTTCGGAATACACGATTGCATTACCAGGAGAACCGACAGCCAGTCCCTCCGCAGTGCGGCAAAGGGCGCTAGCTGTTGTCGGCGCGGCCGGGTCGTCTGCCTGGCTTCCGGGGAATCGGGCCGGTCGCTGCCACAGGTAATTGCCAGCGCCGGCCGGTGCTTGGCGGCCGCGTCTTGGCCAATAAAAGGCCAGATTTTTTTTCTTCTTTTTTTGTTTTTGGGCTGGCATTCGTTTATACGAGAGCAGCTTTCTACGGTTGGTACTCTTTTGTATAATCCTCGTGTTTTGCCAGGATCATCTCCAGAACAGTCTGCATGCGAAATAGCTTTTAGATCCACCTGTGATCCCACGCAATGAGAAATGCAGTTGAAGAGATGTTTTCTTCGAGACACCCAAATGAAAGTCAAAAGACACAAAAACCTAATGAAAAAATATATTTTTATCATGTTTTATGGAGATGTTGAAGGTGAATATTTTTTTTAACGAAGCATTCTCTAATGATTAACTCTAAATGCAAGTATTTAGTGTAAAACCTTGATATCTCGATTTGAAAGGGAAGAACAAAAATACTTTCGACATATTGAGGTTACAGGAGGTTACAGAGGAAAGATGAACGGTCTTTGTAAGAGAATCGATGTATGAAAGTTTGAGTTTTCACGATCTGACGGGCGTGTTAAGTAACGATCGTTATGACCTCGTGTTTTTTTTGTCATTAAAATAAACAGTTTGTGATATGTAAATCAAGCTCGGTCGAAATTCAGCGTATTTGAGGAACCTCTTCAAAGCCACAAAACGTGCAAAAACAACAGATGGATTTCGCACGCTAGTCTTCAACGAAGCAAGGGAAGCTCCCGCAGGCCCGGGCCGGCCTTTAGAGCGCTAAGCAGCGAGGGCTATTGTAGGGAAGGGAGCGGAAGGCGAGGGGGAGAACACGAACTCCTTCGCGGTTCGTTACAGAAAGGGCCCCGTCCCAGCGAACGGGGTGTGAGGAAGAGTGCATATGGCATCGCGGGGCGCGTTGCCGCTTGGGGCGGGAGAGATGGCCGCAGCGGAGCGGAGAGAGACGGAGCAAGGAGCGAAGCAGGGCAGGGAGGGGCGGGGTGATCAGAGCGAATTGGGCTCGGTGGTATAAACAGGAGAAGCTAGATGGGACGGAGCGGTGTGCAGCGGAGAAGAGCGAGGCGGGTAGGGGCA